TTTTTAGTTTTCCTGGAAAATGAAATAGGACACGAAAAATTACTGGAGAATGGAAAGAGCCAAAGGATGATACATCCCTCTACAAGATTTGGAAGAAAAATATCACTCTGGTTAAAAAAATATTTATATGGATATTATTTTCATAATCCTAATTACTTTTTAGGCTTTGCCACAGGATAGAAATGAAGAAGAGGATGAAGAAACAGTCCGAGACTCTCTTGAATGCAATCTGAATCTGATCAAGGAACTCGGGAATAAATGACAGAAAACGTAAGTAACATGTTTGTTTTAAAATGCCATAATTCTAAATGTCTAATATCTTTTTAGTTACCACCCTCTGAAGATAATAACGAAAGAGACAAACCAGAGAACATTCCGGAAACTGAGTACCTAGATGATTCAACACTAGAAGAAAAACTAGAGTCATCAGAAACTGAAATAACCTTAGGTCATCCCTCATTTGACACCTTCAAAAAATTAACTTGCAAGTGTTGAAAACCAAAAACCTGCAAGTACCAAAAACTCTGATCCCACTATTCCATCTCCATTCAAGAGAATACTTTTTTGGCCAGAATAAAAACCCACATCTAAAAAAAAGTTAAAAGGGAAAACATACCTTCAGTATTAACATCAGCTCAGGCTCTCACATATTATAAAAAAAAGAAGAAGTAAAACAGAAGAAGCTGGAAGAACAAACCAAAAGAAATGAAGAAAGATCAAGAAAAAAACAACAGGAATTAGAAATAAAGAGAAGCAAGTTGGAAGAAACAAAGAAAAGTTGAAGATCAGAAAAAGAACAAAAGAAAGGAAATCAAAATATCCAAAATAGAAGAAAATAATGAATCTTCAACAGCAGTCACTTTCAATAAGTAGTAGCGAGTCTTCACAGTGGGATGAACATTTTGAAGAGGAAGTCAATGATATTTCAATTGAGCCAGTTTCTCTTGAAGCCATTGTTGAAGACGACTTCATACTCTGTGAATGTGTTGGAGGAAAACGAAACCAAAGAAAATTTGTTTATGTGTTGTACAAGAAAAGAGCGATTTAGTGCAGGTTATGGGACTCAAATCAACGGACAAAGATGAAAAACAGTTTGTACCAAATGATAATGATATTTCCTCGATTATCATTGATCAAGTGATTGGCAAAGTGTCTCAACCAGAAATTTTGAGTAGAGGAGAGAGAATAAGTTACCTCTTTAAAACGTCATTACCAGTCAAAGAAATTTAAGATTATTTCAGCACTAATTTCAAAGGCTAATGTTTTCTTTTCACAGCTATTAGTGTTAATTATTTTAAGAATACTTGTGTTTTTTTACCAAATAAAATATAAATACAATAGGTGTATATGTCATCTTTTGGTAAAGTTGCTATGTCATCTAATGGCACATATTCATTTATGGGTGTCATCTATGGGTGCCTATGTTATATATTTTTTCACAATATTTTTTAATTTTAACTGAAGTTTAAATTGTTACTTCTCTTAAGCAAGATTCAATCTAAACATAAGCAAATTTGTAAATTTGATGTCAGAATGTATAAAATATGATTTTTTCCCTTGAGACTGTCATCTATTGGTCATTTTACCTTAATAGGTAACTGCAGATAAAATTAGTACATTAAACAATAATTAGCTATGTTGATTTTGATTTAATTCCAAGATAAATTTTATTTAAAGGAACCAGAGAAAACTCAAAGATCGTGTCACAGAAACAACGAGCGACCATTTCCTTCTGAAAACAACTACTCATTTGGCTAATACCGCAACAGGCATTGCATTATATCAGAACGTTGATAGCAGAGATAGAAAATAATTTTCAACACTAACTTTGCTTTTGCTTCCTAAGGAGAAAATCATTCTTGGACCGGTTTCGTCCTTATTAGGACTCTTCAGCAAGAAATGGATGCTCTCGACTCGAATGGAGTCTAATGGTACCATTAAAATCGCTCGTACACATTAACAGCGGTTTAGAGCAGCGTTACTTAAAGTGTGGTCCGCGGAGCCCTGGGGCTCCGCAAAGCCTTTGTGGGGGCTCCGCAAAGAAAAGAAAAGCAGTACTAGCGCTACAACGGTACTTGGCTTGAGAACCTTTTTTTTAGAAGTCTGTAAGAGGAAGGAGTATACATGATTTTGGTTGGACTTTTTTTTTTAGAGGCCAGAGAAAGGATGATATAATTTTGAGGATTTTTTGTAGGGGTTCCGTGAAGAAACGGGAGGGACCTGGAAAGAGGCTAGAGCAAGGAGGATTTTGCTCGGAGGACTTTTTTTTAGAAATGTGTTTTACTATTTTGGTTGATTGCGATTAAAGTGAAATTGTTTTAATACTAACAATAATGGCAACATTCTTATGCTTATTTAAGTTATGTTTCATTAAATTATATTTTATGGTGTGCATTATTTTACGAGTTAGATTACTAATAAAATTTAAATAAAGTGTCACACTTTTTTTTATCTCGCTAATGGGCACTAAAATTAAAAGTACCGCAATGAACAGTCGTATTTCTGAAATCCCCACAAAATTACCTATTCAATGATGGGTCACACTTTGTACATTCCCTATTTAAATTGTATTGGTATCTATATAACTATATATCATTGGATCTTTCCCTTCTAGTACACGAACGCCATCTTAATTTTATACAGTTTGGGGGACACTTTTTGAGATAAACAACCATATGAGATTGTCCTTCTTTCCTCTACACTCCATAATTTTCATGTTTCATTTTTTTCATGTTTCTTTACAATAAAGTCATGTTATTATCCTGTATTTAGGGATTTTTTTATAAAAATAAATACCTAGTTACTGTAGGTAAATGTCAAATCGTCTAACATGACTATTCCTAACTTCATACTAATCTGATACTTTTAATTTTCAAATATTAGGACAAACAGTTTTCATTTTCTTTTTAAACTAGTTTTCAAGAAAGTGAGTTATTTTGCATAAGTACATGGATATTGATATTTTTAGTTTTTTCTCTATAAAATCATGCCAGTGTCCTGTAAAACAGTGTTTTGATGATTTTGTGCAAATTTAGTCGGATCAAAACTGTTTAAATTAACGACGGAACCAGAATTACAATTCGTAAGCTTCCTGACTAAATCTATTCTTTGATATAACCTTTCAAAAGCAATAAAAATTTTGATTTAAAAACCAAAAAAGGCATTTTTATTTATTTTCATTTAGTAACTGGTAACATAATTAACTTTTCGTAAAGTAGAAGATTATGCAACTGGTTGCATAAAGTAGATCATTTTGCCACTTGCTACGATTACAAAAGATGTCACTTTATGTGTCAAAATTCAAAAAACAATTTTTGATGCTCCTCCCAAGAGTTTGCTTTAAACTCAATCAATAAAATATAGAGGGAGTTTCATAAGAATGATCGATATTTTAATAACATCTTCAATGTCATCAAATATTTTTTATATTTTTATTCTATTACAATATTATCGCAACTCGCCAATCATCCAAATATTTTATATATACCTACCATTTTTCTTAAATGGTAACATGTTTTTTTTATTTAATCACATGATTACTACCGTTGTAAATACGAGTGTAAATAAAATAACCATATTAAATTAAAGTAGGCGTTGCACAGCACATTCCAATCTGCTGACATTTTATTTACACAACAATAGGTATAGTAAGTATGAAATAACACCAAACAATATCTCTGAAGATACCTAATAACTGCATTCCAATGCAGCTTAGGTCCTAACAAATACCTGCCGGTAAAAATACCTTTGTTTTCGCGTTTTTTAAATATGCTAGTTATTTTTTAGGAGTAGATAGGTATCTAGTAACGAAGTAAATATTTTAATTTAATATTTGAAGTAGGTTACAGTATTGTTACACGTTCAGTTCTGTAGTGTCTAGTCATCTGCCTTTACGGGGTTTTTACGATTAATTTTTAAAGGTATTTAACTGAAAATTCATAAACCAGAAATGGATTTAAGCATCTAATTGAAAATTCATAAACCAAAATTATCAAATCAAAGTTATTGTATAATTTCTAATCACTGTTATCATATTAAATTTGATATGATGTGTGTTTACTGTTTATTAAAATATCTAATTTAAGTTCAAAAATTAAATAAATTTACATATTTATTTTACTTATAACTTTTTATCAAAATTAAGATAAATAGGTATACCCACCAGTTAGAGTTTTATCAAATAAGTTACTTAAATTGTTTTAATTCAAATTTTCGACCAGAATGCAGTTGGTTGCATTTAGGTATATCTAGTTTAAAATTAATTATATTCTTTTGTAAATGAAACAAGTATTTTATGATCTGTGAATTTGTCAGAAACTGACAGTCAAATTGTAAAAATTAGGAACAAAAGCTAATAAATAAGATCTTGAATTTTGATAGTAGAACGTCAAATTTAAAATAATTTAATTTGACAGTAGAGGTTATAAGTATTCATTTAAATATTAAAAATAATTTGTTTACATACCTGTTATCTAATTTTTTACAATATTTAAAAAAAAACTAAAAACATGTATGTGAAATTAATAACAGAATGATTTGTTTTTATTAAAAGTTAACTGTTAGTGGAACACAAAATACGTCACACTAATATAGCACATTAGATACAGTTTTGTCAATTTTTGGAATAACAAGTTGTCTTGGTTTTCGTAGGTATCTACCTGGATAAATTTATTCATTTTCTTACTTTTTTAAGAATACAGATCGAAAAAATTTTCAATTAATAAAGAAGCAAATGAGTGCAACAATCGCTTAAATTTCAGTTGCTTAGTTGAATAGCCACTACCGATTTAAAACAAATTTATGCAAGTACTATGATGTAAAAACAGTTACTCATATTGGGTTCTTCCTTTACTATAGGAATATAAATAACATCGGTTATTACTTTAAATAACTAATATTGTATCCAGCTATTTGCTTGAATACAGCTAAAACATATTTAACTCGTTAATCGGAAAACAGGTTTTCTTACTGGTTGAGCAACATAATTTTTCTTTACTTACCATTTCTGGAAACATCAAGCTCGACGAGATGTTCGAAATTTTGAATGTCCGACGGCAAATTATTAATTTCGTTATCACTTAAACCAAGTTTCCTCAGCCTGTGTAAACGAAAAAAATTCTGGAAAAAATAAGAATTAAAAAATGTAAATTGTTTATTATAAGATCTAGTTACCTTTGGAAGAACTTGTATCCTGTTGGCGTCTAATAACAGCTCCTCCAAACTCCTCGAATACCTTAAAATATCTTCAGGAACATTTATTAAAGAACAATGTCTCTTATCTACCGTTTCAACTTGTCTGTTGCAGCCTTTAAAAATAGGTATACACCGAAACATGTCTATTATAACTTAACGCACATTCTTTTCAAACTAACATTCACTGAAAATCACTTTTCGATTTACTTTATAAACATTTTTTCGATAAAACACGAATTTTTGTAACTTTACCGAACATCGCTTTACACTACTTCAGTCACAACACAGCAATCATAAAAGCATGAAACACCAACACCACTCCCGCAGCACTGATAAAAGAAAAACCCTAGACTACTTTTCAACACTCGAGCGATAATCCACCATTACCAACTTCGTTTTTCATTCATTTTATTCAACTAATACCTTTTATTTCTATAACTTATGAAGAAATATGTTAACAAATTAAAGTAAAATACATTAAAAGTAGCAAATTTAAAAGTAAAAGGTGTTTATGGGCAAAAATTAAATTAAAAACATGTTAGAAGGCAGCACCTTACAACAATTGCCCAACCTGTATCCATGACAGACGTCAAACGTCAAATCTGAAGCGAGAAAAAAAGGATGGTGCCATAGTGGACCAAAAATATTAAATCATCCGAAAATATACTTTTTTATTATTCTAAAATTAAATATTCATTATAAAAATTGATAATTGATTTTATTTTTAGATCATTTGATTAAAATAATAAATAAATAAATAAATAAAATTCCAATATATTTTAAGTTATACCCATTTATGAAACCGTATTGTAAATTACATCTAAATAAAATACATACCTATTTAATTTGTTGATTTTTATATGATAATATGACAACGTCGAGTTAAAGTTCCAAAATCTAGAAGTGTCTGTCTACAGAAACCCATTCCGGCGTTGCCGATAATGTCAGATGCCGCGTTTGAATATCCACAACGGATGCATCTGAGATGTTGTGAATTTTATATCACGTGATAGAGGATTAGATTTGAATGTAGATTCAATAAACAAACGCTCTAGACTTTATTGGTCACGTGATAAAATGTCAGTGACAAGTTAGAAGTTTATACTTTTTAAATTTGACTTTTGAGACTACATATCAACCTAAATTTGAAATCTAAACGAAAATTAAACAAACTAATCACTTTTATATTCATGCTAGCATAAGCAAAGTATAAATTGACAAACTTAGCTTCACATAACACTTACTTTCTGGCATGGAACGAACATCTCATTCACATCTCATTTCAAATCGAGATATAAAAAATGTAATCTGACCAGGTACATTTCTGATAAACAAACGCAGATGTAGATATGTCCGATGTGGATAAACAAACGCTCGAGATGTAAAAAATGCATCAGATACAATGAGCTGGAGTGGGGTAGAATGCTTGTCAATAGGCTTGAGATGCGACTCTATGGGCAAAGACAGGTTATTTTTCATCTCACTCGGGAGTATTTATAACAACCATTTTCTATTTCACTTTGTTATTGTCTGATCCACCAGCTTGTGGATTGAACAATAACAATGTGAAACAGAAAATGGTTATTATAAATACTCCGGAGTGAGATGAGAAATAAAAATGGCTGCGCCCATAGAGTCGCATCTTATTCTATTGATACAATATGCACATTGGCTTTCTACCCCACTCCAGTTCATTGATCAGATATGTGGATTTTCATGCCGCGTTTGAGAATCCACACCGGATGCATTTTTTAAATCTCGAGCGTTTTTTTATCCACATCTGACCCATTACATTTACGTATACTGAATCACGTGATCAAAGATTTACTACATCTCAGATGCATCCGATGTGGTTTCTCAAACGCGGCAATGGTGTTTTAAATAATTGAATGAACATTAGTTTGTTAATGCTGTTTTATGTAAATATTAATTATTATTATTGATAAAGATTAATGGTTCCAAAACTTTTTCGAATCACAAATTTTCCACCGCACCCTACAATTAAAGTATGACTAGAGCTAAGAGCAAAAATTAATTATTTATGGGATAATAACCATGAGTGTAATTTAGCGATGAAGAAAAAAGTCCCTTATATCTCACAAGATGTATGTCTTAAGTTTATTACTTTTGGTTTCTGACTATGAAGACTAGACATTCTGACACACCATTTTTTGTCACTGTGTATCATGGCTCTTTAATTGACGTCTCAAGAAGTTTCAACGAATCTTGTAGATATATAGTCTTATTACTGATAAGATCCTTTCACAAAAACGACAAGTTTTAAACAGTTTTCATTTGGCGTGTTTTGAAACATTTTTTTTTGTTTGTCGCATTTTGTAATTATGAAGCCGGCGTCCATGTGAAGACGCCGCGGCGCACACTTTAGGAATCAGTATCACTAGCTTAGGACGATCGAAAGATAAAATTAAACTTTGAAAGGATACATGTTAAAGGTATTATAACTTGTGTCTAAAAAGGATCTATGGAATATTTTACAGATACTTTCTGTTGTATTTCTTGTTTTAATATGTTATGTACCTATAAATTTACCTACACTAAAATAAGAAGGTATATATTTTAAAATGTCATCAACAAACAGCCTAAAATTAATATTTTTTTAAACACTTAAGAAATCTCAAAAATAATGTCCTTTATATTTTATTAATGTAAGTTTCAATTTTTTTTTTTTATTTAAAAATAATTTCTTGAAATAGTTGAAACAGGTGGCAACGTCGGAACGAGGTTCTATAAACAGGCCACCAATATCCACCATCATAATTTGTGGTGTTTATATATGGGCGGAGGCATATTTGTCCTTCAATAAAGTCTGTTGCACTTGTCTTGCTAAATTATATTATCATTACTCACTTGTTCAGTGTATACTCACAAATCTACGCCACCATCCCAGTGAAGTGCTAACACATAATGTTTTTAAATGACTCAAATTTGGACATATAATTCTTGTAAACAAACAGCCATGCATACCCTATAGTTTCTGCAAAAAATGTCACAACCTAGTGGTGATTTTTTGCTTTCATCTGAAGATATGCCGGAAGCTGAGTCCTCAGGTTCTTTAGAACATGCCAACAAGAAGAAATTTTCTTCAGGCTCCCTTTCAGGAGACGTAGCACGCCCCAAAGTAGTTACTGTCAAACATCCTGAATCAAATAAGTTAAAACCCACTGCTAAAAAGAATAAACAACCAATTCAAGCCGACTTAGATGTATCAAAAGAGTTTGTAAGATGTCGAGAAGATGGTTTAAAAAGATTAGATCTTAGTAAATCTAATATAACATTACTTCCACCCACTGTAAGGGATTTACATCATTTATCTGAACTGTACCTTTATGGTAACAAGTTAGTATGTTTGCCAAATGAAATAGGATGTTTAACCAGCCTTCAAACTTTAGCTCTTAGTGAAAACTCTTTAACCAGCTTACCTGATTCTTTAGAAAATCTGAGATCATTGAAAGTATTAGATTTAAGACACAATAAACTGAATGATATACCAGATGTTGTTTACAAACTAACCTCCCTTACAACCTTATTTCTAAGATTTAACAGAATAAGGTATGTAGGGGATGAGATCAGGAACTTGACATCTCTGACTATGCTGAGTCTAAGAGAAAATAAAATTAAAGAATTGCCACCAGGAATTGGATGCTTAATACATTTGTTGACATTTGATGTTTCACACAATCATTTAGAACATCTGCCTGTTGAAATTGGACAGTGCATTGATCTATCTACTTTGGATTTGCAACACAATGAATTGTTAGATATTCCAGATTCTATCGGACAACTTCAACAATTAACTAGGTTAGGATTAAGGTAAGAAGTTACATAAATTAGTTTTGTTCATTTCTGCATTAGGTTTATTTATATTAAGGAGTGATAATTTAAAAGTTTACAATGGTTATATCTCATTATCTGAAGATGGTAGAAAAGTAAAACCTAATAAAATCAATTTATTTTGTATTCCACAAGAAATATTTAAAAACATTTAATTATTATTAAGATAAAAATGATGCCATCTTCTTGTTAAATAAGTTTTTAACCCTTCATTAGACACGTTTGCTTTTGAAAAGTGGTTAGTCATGCTGGGTCTTCCAGACCCATCTGTAACATGTGGAGTGTAGGTTAACCTATAGCACTTAGGCCTCACTAGGCCCATTATGCATCTTCCTAAGTAGATAGGAACCTCTTAGCTTGTGATGCAGCCTACAGAGTTAATATAGTTGACAAAGTCACCAAGAGGTGCTTCTCTTATATTGGCCAGCAAAATTCTCACCAAACACAAATCTTCTAATAAATGAGAGTGTTGGGCAATCGTAGAGGATATGCTCTATGGTCTCATCTTCTTGTTGGCCCCTGCAGAGAGTGGATTCTGACAGTCCCATGATATGGAGATGCTTTCATACTTATTGGTAATGACCTGTCAGAATGCCTGTGATCAGATTCTGTCAAGTCAGTCAAGAATTTGTTTGTTGTAGTGTCATCAGGATAACTTAAAAGCTCTCAACTCTGCAGCTTCTTGTTTCATCCCATTTTCCTTTGAATTCCACAAGGTAATGTTCTTTAATTAGTTTTGTCACTACCGATGTTGTCAATACAATATAAAGGCCAGGACCAGGAAGTATTTCTTTCCAGACCCATGAGAATGTATTAAATGGCTGATTTTTTAATTGTTTTCAAAAAAATGTATCTTATTCTTTTGGTCAATTTAACATTATTGTGTAGTGATTAAACAATATACAGGGTGTCCCGAAATTAGACGGTCATATTTTAACAGCATAATCTACATCCTAAAATAGGAGTGAAAGTTCATATAAACATAGTTCCGAAAACGTTTCCTTTTCGAGATACAGGGTGTTAAAAATGAAGTCCTGATGACACTCTTTTGTAAATATTTTCTAAACGTTTAAAGATATCTAAGTGAAATTTGGTACAAATGCTTACCTTTTTACGCTCTATTTAATGGACTAAACCCCAGTTTTTTATCATCTTCATAGGTGGGTAAATTAATAATAATAATAAAAGATCTTTATTAAAATTGTTGAAAATTACAAAAATACAATGTAAGGGCGAGATTTAGCCTACAGCTATTCTTCCATCTAACCCTTTTAGTAACAGGATCGATAAATAATATTAAAAACAAGAAAAAACTATAATATACTATATTAAAAATTAAAAAAAACACTTAACTAAACTGTTAATGCAAATAAATAATAATTGAATTATTATTAAATTAAATTAAAAATTACACAATTTGTATACACAATTTAATTTGATCATAGTTGTTGATGAAGCAGGATATTTTTGAGCTTAGGCTTGAAACCAGTATATGAATGGGTATTCTTTAAATCATTGTCAAGCTCATTGTGATTTTTAACAGCACAGTATGAGAAACTAAATTAGGGGGGGGCTTAGAGTAAAATTGCCTTAAGTTTTTTGTTGACAGTTTTTAACATTTTTGACAATAAAATTTGAAAAACCAATGTTTTCTTTATAATAAATCTACTTTTGTTGCATCTCGCTAGGAAGAACCATTTTTAAGAAAAAAGCCTTTGAAAATTTCATAAGTTGATGTTATCTTATTCGAAAGTGTAAACAATAATTAGTAGGCCTGTGAAATCAGAAATTTTATTTTTTTTTTACTTTGGAAAACCGGTGGAAAATATTTACAAAAATGTGCCATCAGGACTTCACTTGTAACACCCTGTATCTCTAAAACGAAACGTTTTCGGACCTATGTTTATATGAACTTTAATTCCTATTTTAGGATATAGATTATGCTGTTAAAATATGACCGTCTAATTTCGGGACACCCTCTATTTAACTTTTATAAAATAAGTAACCAGATAAAAAAACTTCGATATATTGCATGCAAAAATTGGTATTTACTTATAAAATGAAATAGACATATTTTATATTTTTGGTTATTTTGTTATTATAAAGATTCAATGGCTGTTTCTTCTACATGGTCATAAACTAGGAGTACCTTACACAACCAATGATTATTTTCAATCCACAAATAATGGGATCTGTTAAACAGGCCAACTATTCTTAGAAGATGCTTCTGAGATATCATATAATTATAATGTCGGTAACAATAATAGTTAAAAAAAAAACTTAAAAATTATACACCTTGGGGCTGATAGACCCATTCATGACTAATGAAGGGTTGATTATTATGTACTGTTGAATCAACCTGGTTAGGATATAACTTATATCCTTAAAAAGCATACTACCTTTTCCATGAAGTATGACAATAATTAGTGAGGAGGAGGGGTTGCTATTTATTTTCCTTTGTTAAGGTAGGTGGTATATAGGGGGTTAATGGGATTGCTACTGAGTTTCCTCTTCAAAACCTAGAAACTGTTTTAGACATTTTCTGATATAATCTTTAGTTCATGAAGTTTTAACATTGTCACCCTATAAAAGGGTATGTGGATACCCTTTTAAGTGAATTTAAACATTGATCCAAGATTTTTATTGATGTTAAAAAATAGTCTTACATTTTTTTTTTTGTAGGTACAATAGGTTAACACAGATACCTCCATCTTTGAGCAACTGTAAACACATGGACGAATTCAACGTTGAAGGCAATGCAATTTCACAACTGCCAGAAGGACTGCTATCAAGTTTAAGTGAACTAACAAGTATCACATTGTCAAGAAATAATTTTTCAGCATATCCATCTGGTGGTAAGCAATAATACTATCTTATCTGATTTACTCTTAATATTATAGCATTTTTAAGCAATGCAATTTTTTTTTAATATAGAATGTGGAAGAAAAACATTTTAATTTATCTGTAATATGATTTCTTAGGACCCTCTCAATTTGTCAATGTCGACTCTGTTAACTTAGAACACAACCAGATAGACAAGATTCCTTATGGCATATTTTCAAGAGCCAAACATTTGACAAAACTCAACATGAAAGAAAATCAATTGACTTCTCTACCCTTAGACGTTGGAACATGGACAAATATGGTAGAGCTAAATCTAGGAACAAACCAGCTTAGCAAGCTGCCAGATGACATACAATGCCTGCAAAGTTTAGAGGTATTGAATAATTCCTCTTGATATGGTTCTTGTATATTAAAAAAAACTGATGTTTGTCATCGCAATATTTATTTAACAAATTTTCAGGTACTGGTTCTATCAAATAATCTATTAAGAAGGATCCCACCAAGTATTGGCAATTTGCGCAAATTGCGAGTTTTAGATTTAGAAGAAAATCGCCTGGAGCAGCTACCGCAAGAAGTTGGCTATCTAAAAGATCTTCAGAAGCTTATTGTCCAATCAAATCAACTAACATCTTTACCAAGGGCCATTGGTCATCTTACGAATCTGGTGTTTTTGAGTGCAGGCGAAAATAATTTGGCATTTCTTCCTGAAGAAATCGGAACTCTGGAAAATCTGGAATCGCTTTATATAAATGACAACCCTACTCTGCATAATCTTCCATTTGAGCTCGCTCTATGCTCCAATTTGGGTATCATGAGTATAGAAAACTGTCCATTATCTCAAATACCAGGAGAGATAGTGGCAGGTGGGCCTTCTCTGGTCATACAGTATTTAAAGATGCAAGGACCCTATAGGGCTATGTGATGATGTGATTACTTGCTTTAAAATCTTCTCTTAATGAGAAGAGACTTTGTGATTTTAAGACAAGGCGACTGTAAAATTGACAAGGCTTGGCGAGAATTGATTTTGATTTTAATCTGGAGATGTTTTTTTGTTAATAGTAATGAGTTGCGGTATCCCTAAAATTGTATTTGGAAAATTTTAATTGTTAAGTTATACAAAGGGGGGTCCAAAATAAACTGTAATTTCATTCGACTTCAAACTGCTTTGTTTTCTCAACTCCATTCCTTGATTTTGATACCTTGTAGTACTGCTGCCACATCAGCAGAGCACAGGGTTAAATTGGATGAATTTTGGGGCTGGTATTTTGCTATTCAAGATAGCTTGATAATTTTTTTTCAATTGGGCTGATTAACCCTTTCGTAATGGGAGTTTTTTTTTTCGACAGGCTCCACAAACGGTAACTTTTTCTGCTTATACTTTTATGCGTCTCCTGTTTAGTGTGTATACACTTTACTGAGTTTCCGAAGTGTTTGAATGTTAGATTCGTTATCAGATTCTAACAAAAAATCTATCAATTTCTGCTTCAGTATATTTTATTATTATAAGGGCCAGTCTTTTCACCTCTGAGTAAAGTTCAAAGTAACTACTTGCTGATTAAACCATAGGGCCATTGTTTGTTAATCTGTCAAGTAAATCTACATGTAACTTTACTCAGAGGTGAAAAGATTGGCCCTAAGTCTAGTTAGTTTTAGAATATTTAGTAGTAATTTGTTATTTTACACGTTTCTGAAATGCCTGCTAATACAAAACCTTTTGCTGCACAGCAGCCTTTTTCCACAGACAAGTTATAGTTGATCACCTTAAATGAATTCGCGTGCTTCCTATTTATAAGTAATCCTCACAATGATCGAAAAAATGTGTCTCTTGCATATATGTTGTTTAAGTATTTGCACATTTTTATTGCTTCCGGGTCAAAGGGTTCAAGGACGCCTGTAACTTTTAAAAGAAGTAAACCATAAATTTAATGTTTTAGAGCAACTTTCTTGTATGTTGTCTCCATCATAATACTTAACAAGAAAGTCATTGAAGTTGAATGTATGGTCTCATAACGGTAACTGATACACAGATGCTGATAGGTGCTTAGAACTCACATGTATTGGATTAAACATGTACAAAAGGGATTTGCCTTCCAGAAAAGAATTCAGGTTTTAGTATAACTTATAACATCTTATAACTTTTGAACAAAAAAATTAGAAACATGTGGTTTTGTTTTGAACCTATTAAATTTTGTTTAGGTATAATGCAACTGAATGTATAGTCATATTTATTTAGAAACATCAAAGATCTACATTTTAAAGAAAACCTTGATTTAGTTGTTTAATTAGGCATTTAGAAGCAATTTGGTATTAAAATACACAAGCAAATTGTTTCAACTTACAACGTTGCCAAATAACTACCTAGAATGCGATATTTAAAAAAATCTTTGTTTTCATGTAGTTATTATTATTGTTAAGAACAGGCAAGAGACATAGTTGATGAAGCTGCTTTTTTAGTTAGTGACAAAAATTAATTCTAAATTACGACATGACAGTTAAAACTTAATATACTATAAACTATAATGAATAAAATTATTTCTTTCTTCTTCGAGATCTTTATCCACTCTCGCATTGAACTGGTTTATGTTCTAGGCTGAGACTGTATGTTCCTGGAGATAATTTCACAGATATACAGTTCTGTTTGCAATGAAATTTTTTCTTTGTAGTTTATTACACTTTTCTTTATCTAATTTCTTCGAGTGACCTCTCAAGGTTCTTGATGTGGTGGCCTGGAAGATGTTACTACAGATCAAGTCTCCTCTAATTCTTCTATCCTTTAAACTGGAAAGTTGTAGTTTGGCTAGCCGATTACAATACATACTCATTTTTTTGTAGGGTTGGTGGTATTTTGGTGACTCTCTTTTGTACTCTTTTCAGCAGTTCAATGTCTTTAACAAAGTAATTATTTGGGCCAATGTGCAATATTGTACACTTATTTACGTTGAGGGGTAGTAGGCATTGCTTGGATCAGATTCCTATTTTATTCAAAGATTGTCTTGCATTGTAAATTGTTAGAAAGTAATAAAAAAAAACTTGTAATTTGCAACATTTTAGCGGAAACCGCATGTTTCTATTTACTATTAAAAATATTATTATTATAAGCTGTTAAATTACTGGAATATATAGTGGACTTAAATGCCATATGAAGAAAAGAATTGAATTAAAAATTTATTACTTTTGACTTTAAATATAAGATTATTTACCCCATCGATATTTCCAGACAATACATTATATTTGCATATTGTTATTGAATGAACTAGGAGAAAGAGTTTTTGATATAAATATCGGCCTAATATTACCTTCTTGTGTAATAAAAAAATGTCTGATTGGCGAATTGTATGATTGAGATTTGGTTTCAAAGTTGACATACTATTTTAAGTCTTTCATGATAGAAATTATCGAACAAATGTGATATGAACAGTTTTAGTTGCAAAAAATCTCTTTAGCATTAATAGCTTGATTCATTGTGAAACGGACATACGTTAACTGCGGATGGATGCCACTGAAGTACTTCTATCTAAATAATTTCTATTTATAAACGAGATATAGGGGGTTTTATCAATTTTGTCAATGTCGTCCCTGCACAAAAAAAAAAACAATTCAATGATTATTTGGATTTTAAGTTCAAATTCTAATTTCTGAGCATTTCTTATTAATTTGATTACGTTAAGAGTTTTTTTCATCTCTAACTGAAGTTACAGAGAGGGTTACTTGGCAGATTATGTACAAATTGAACACCCGGTGTATCAAATTATAACGTCCTTTTTAATGATTATTTACTATTTACATTATTACCGTTTTATTCTCATTTTCAAATACCCAAATAGTTGATTACATTGAAAAATACTATAATTTATCCACTACTTTAAATTAGATCAATTTGATTACCAATTGTCAACTTTTATAGCCTTATTTTGTATGAGTGATTGATAGAATGTGTGTTTTTTAGCCATTTCCTCGTTGATGTCATAGTATTGGTAGAAATAGTAATGTGATAATTTAAAAATCGTAAAGGGTAATTCGCGAAAAAATTAATATAATACACTGGGTGCTAGGTGACATCTAGTCCAATTTATTCTCCTAAATACAGTGAATCCTCTATGGTTTGTTAATTGGTATCAGGAATTTAGCAGCTCATTTAGGTTGATTTGGCAATTTTATAGCAAAATCGATAAAGAATATTTTAAATCAAACAAGAATCTTTAACTATTACATTTATAGGAGTAGTTTGGACCGGCCATATCTATCACTCACACAAGTACCTCACTTTATTTGCGAAACACCCTGTACCATTGTGATGAACTGATTTTTTAAAGTTCTATAAACATTGACAGAACTCGAATATACTTGTTTAAGAATTAAAAATAGTTTCTCTACTTATATCTCCAGATTTAAATTGAAAATCATTTAGATAATTTTTCAGATATCTCGCTTGAGTCCAGTAGTTATTTTTGTTTTTGTATCTTTGTATTGCAATGAGTTTTATATTGAGTAGTTTTCAAAAAGACGATTACTGGTTTAAAATACTCGAGAGCATTATATTGTAAAAAAAATACCAAAAAGTTTATTTCAAATTACGAATTTGATCGATAAGTTTCCAATATATTATTGATTATAATAAAAAGATATTTTTCTAGCCCAAATTTACCAGTGGTCTTCTTTAAGTTAACAGTATTGTTATTAGGAATATTTCAAACGGAATTATCTTGAAGAGGTAGTTAGAGAATCAAATAAGAAGTTCTTTCCGATAATTCTAGTTCGTATTTTTCTCAGAAACTGTATGCGTAATATTTATTGATAAATGCTATTTAAGAGACATACCAGGTCTGGAAAATTTCGTCGTCGTACTAAAACTCATACTATTGAACCTACAAATTTTGTTCAAAAAAATATTCATTATGTAGACATTATAGTAATCATTAAACTTTTTGAAGTGTTGTCTAATCTAACATATTTATTATATTATTATGATCTCTCTATAGCTATCTATACTTCTTTACTTTTGAAAGAAATTCTTTTAGGTTTTTTAAGAGTTATAGACATTCGACGCAGGTTTACCTGACCAAGTATTATAGCCAAAAAGACGTCGAAATCCAAAGTGATCTTCCGTGTCTAATATTTTATTTTTTATATTGTACTGCGATAGATCACTAAGGCTTTCGAAATAATAAGAACAAACATTGATTAGACTTAGAAATGAACTGAAAAGCTGCAGAAATATAGAACTACGTGTCTGCTCTAAAAATTTTAATTAATGTTTTTCAAATTTTTCGTGAGGAACTAACGCGCACAAAATAATTATCATCCTCCAGTTATTTTTAATTTTTTTTTTTTTCAATAAGCACAACAAAGGAAATGTTTTCGTCGATTTTATATGAGTTCCCATCAATCCAAAGGATTATAAATATACAAGGTGTTGCTTAATGATAAGCGAATAATTAAGAGTGTAAATCTATATGAATAATTAGTCCAAATGTTATTTTTTTTTCTTTCATTCTTCAATAATTACATTAATTTTCTCGGACAATACAACAGTTTTTATTTTTTACTTAAAAATGGAACAACGTAGGAAAACAAATCAAGAGATCCTTTAGGTTTAAAATTGAACAGGGAATTTAAAAATAATTTTTATTTGGCAAAAAACTATTGGCGTACCATTTTTTCTTCAAAAATATTGAGGCTAGTGCCGGTACGCCCGTCACTGTTAAAGCTGAAAATTATTTTTGTATTAAAAAATATTATTATTATAATTTGATAAGAGCAGGGGCCATAAGACCCATAAGCCCATATTAACTGAACATAAAACAATATTACTAAAAACTAAATCAATAACAAGTACAACCGATGAATAAACAATGAAACAAATGAAATGTTAATTAAAAAATAGAAAATTATCAAGTTCGTTCTTGAAAACATTGACAGATGGAGCATTTACAACAATCTCCGGTAGAGAATTCCAAGGTAGAATATTCAATTAAATAAAAAAATTTGCCTCGTTTTCGTAAAAAAAATTGTTCTTTTTTCAGCTTCCATTTATGGCCACGTAGTCGACTTTCACTGTCCACGATGAACATGCATTTTAAATTTCCAAAATTTTATTTTAAAATACGAAAACAAATTATCATATCACCCCGCAGACGGCGATTTTCAAACGTTTGTAGTTCAGCCATATGTAGTATCTACGTAATTAGGTCTCATACGTCCGAAAAATAGTCTGGTTGATCGGCGCTGCACATTTTCAAGAATATTTTTATCCCGCACTTGTTCCGGACACCACGCAGCTCCGCAGTACTCGATGATCGGACGAATGTATAATTTATACAGCCGGATCGAATTTTGAAAAGACACTTTTGCGAATGTTTTCTTTAATAAGTACATTTTTGTGTTCGCCTTTTTTGACACTTGAAGAACGTGCTCAGACCAGCTGAGATTTTCAGTAATCAACACCTAGATCATTGTAAGATTTAACTTTATTTAACGTATGACCGTTTAGAAAATAATTATGACGAGGATTATTTTTACCAATATGGAGAACTACACTTTTATAAGTTCAAAGACGGGCACTAAATATTTTAGTGTCATCTGCGTAAAAAATATTGTTGCACTTGATATGGAATTGAAGGTCACTGGCATATATTATAAATAAGAGTGGAGCCAGAACTGATCCCTGAGGAACCCCACTCAAGACTGGTCTTTCAAGTGAATGCGAATTTCCAACTTGTAACAGTACTTTCTATCAGTTAAGAATGACTCGATCCATTTAAGTAAATCACCACGTGTACCAAGGTGTTCTAACTTATCTAGTAATCTTCGTTTCGGTACACGATCAAAAGCTTTCGCAAAATCCAGGTAAATAATGTCTATAGGTTTTTTCCTGAATGAAACTGTCTCATTTACACACCAAAGCAAATTGGTCATGGTTGATCGCCCTTTTACAAATCCATGTTGCTGTTTGGGAGTGATTTCTTCCACTAAGAGAAACTGAGAAACGTGCTCTGTTATTATGGATTCCATAACT